GGTATTAGATTGGCAATATTTCCACTGACTTCCGATTTTAATTTAATGTTTGGCACTGTCCAATAGCTATATTCCGAGAACAGCTAATCCATTTTCCACTATCTTAAACAATCCCAACAGTTTATAGCATTTTATTAAGCACAGAATCATTGAAATTGGATCGGCCATCTTCGATTTATGGAATGTACCATTATGCTAAAGGGATTAACATGTGGAAGGTAACGACATAATGTGCAATCAAACACAAGGAACCTGGAGTAAAATTATCAGTTATACCTATAAATTTCGTGATAATGTAAAATTTAAGAAACTGAAAAAACTGATTTAATTCTTTAAAAAAAATAAAAATAAAGAAAAGCTAATTAGTACAAGAAAAGCTTAATTTAACAACCAAAAAAATTATTTTTAAATATCATCCCGTATAACTCATAAATATCAATTTTCTTCAAAATAATTATTCTAAAAGTTCAGCTCATGATAATTGGTTACGAAAATTATTTTTGGCACGGTGCACAAGTTTCATTTCTATATAATTAGAAAAAAAAACATTAGATTGGTTCTAAACAAGCAGATCATTAATGCAAACAAGAATCTAGAAATATTGTCTGTATGTTAATTTAGTATTCAGAATGCAAACTAGAGTTTAAAAACATCTTCCAGTGTCCCTAGTCGCACCAAACTACCTGTATCGTCTAACAGTACGCTTACGTGAAACCAATATCATATTGGCTTAATGCTATGCATTTAACTAGTATAATAGCGTCGTAATTTGGCTTTTTTAGATACTTACTTGAAAATTATGAAGAAACCTTCTTACAGTTAATTCAATCCTATAACATATAAAAATTATCTAAATCTCTTACAAAAAATAAAAGTTTCTACTTGCCTTTCGAATATTAATTTTATCAAATTGTTTTTTAAAAACAAAAAATTCTTGTCTTTGATTGGTAAAGGTACATATTCTAATGCTTTAAACAATTTTCGTTTATAGTGTTCTTGCAAATCCGTTAAAGCCTTTTCTTCTTCTAACCCAAGATCGCTAAAACAAAATTAAAGAAATCAACGTAGTAGGAGGCGAAGAAAAAATGCACTGTTAATATAACAATCCGTCTAATTTTTAAATAAATCAGATTGACTGGAATTATGACATACATGTGATATCATTTGTTTGTATTGTATACATTTGTAAATCAATACGCGTACGCGCTAGTCACATGATGCTCCAACTGGGTTGGGGTACAGAAAAGTTTTTAGGCCTATAAGCATTGTAAATCGGGAAATCGATATTTTTTGATATTTTTGCAATTTTTAATGCGGGTAACAATACCACTTCGGGCAAAATTAAGTGTATAATTTGAGCCGGACAACACAAATTTGGCCAACCTGAACTGTCGAAACGTATTACTGATCACATTATATTGTGTTGGTAAATCGATATAAATCGATATTTTTTACTATATCGATAAATATCGTTCACCACCTGTAAGTTTGACCAATCTGTAAAAATCAAAACGAACTCCCTCTTTTACAAAAAAAAAAACAGGTATAACTCTAAATTCTTATTAGAAAATAATCTTCTACTGCCTAATTAATAATGTTCTCGTGAAATTCTACTAATAGTTGTCGAATTTTTCTAATCATTACCCTAACTATAAAGCGATTTTTTTAAAATTTAATTTACACGCAATTTTTTTACTTAGAAAACTAGAGACATAATCATGTAGACGGCTTCGCCGCCCATAATATGATAAAGATAGTAGATTTGCTTGGTTTATTCTTATTTTGCTTAAAAAGAAAATTTTGCTTTAGCTTTTCTGTCATTAGATATCTATATTGAATTTATTATTTAAAAAAGAAAAAAATTTGCTTAAGCTTTACTGTCATTAGATGTTCATATTGGATTTAATGCAACAGCTTTGGTTCCGGAGGGGCAAAGCTGGTGATGCATTAAATTTAAAGCCTTAATTTGTTACGTAACAAAACGATTGTACGTACTCTATTTCACACAATTGCTATGGATATCAGGTATATATAGTAAATTAGTGCGGTACGAAAACGTAAATTACAGAATTAGGATGGACATGTGGAAATCATGATAGTACGTACGGTTTGTAAAAGCCAAAAATTCTTTCGAAACAAAGCTAATTTTCCTATAACCTCATACGAAAAAGAACAATGCTTGCACTTACCCTAATCCTAACATTAGAAAAGGGTTTACTTGTAAAGGATTAGGTCTCCTTTTTCATTTGGCATCAGGTTGTAATGAATCTTCGGTGTGGTGGGCAAGTATTAGCTAAATAATTCTATTAAATAATGCTTATTAGTCACACCTAATGATTCATCACATCTTTGTGCCAAACGGATAATGGATTTATAAAATTAATTTTACAAAAAAACCCTATGTTAACCGTAGTAGCTGCGCGACGCGTCGCGCTGAAACCAGGAACGGGATTAATTTGGGTGACAATATTTTTTTAAAAAAACAATTTCTTATGATTTTTTAACTAATAAATCATATTACAGTAGATGAAAAAGAATAGAGTCTTCCGGAAGTAGAAAGTCCTTATACAAGGCTTGGACTTAGGTTAGCTGAAATTTGAGAACGTTACCAATTTCTCAAGATGCAACCAGTCGATTAGGATGAGGATTGTTAGAAAAGGTCAAATAATCGAGAGTAAGCATAAGCATTTTAGCTCTTGTAATAAATTATGTAGTGTAGGTTGAATTCATGAAGTCTCTTTCAGAATACTGTATAATATAAACTACGGCTGTTATACAGTATGTGTATATTATTTGCATAGCCTTAGATAATTCATTTTACTATCCAGTACGAGAATATATAAATCGGTGAAAATTTACGAAAACATTTAGGTAACTCTTAGAGGTTGTTAGTGGTAACTTACCATAGCAAGTAACTGCGATAAGTTACCAGTAAGTTGGCATAAGATTTATTGGTAAATTACCCTAAGTTTTATTGGTAAGTTACTAAATTACCATTGATTTTGACTACGTAGCATTAAGGCAACAGAATTTATCATTTGTTGGTAATTTACGATTGCTATGACTTACTAGAACCAATTATTATCATTATAGACATTGCCATTAACTGGAAATGTTTCGAACATTTCGACCACTTGGCAAATGTTCAAAGCGAAGTTATCAATAATTTCTAAATATGATAGAAATTAGGCTTCATATATGTTAAGCCAGATCCGCAGAACCTTATGCAAGCTCTTTTCGCATTTCGGCAAGACCTTTTTGTATTTCAGCAAGCTATGGAATTTTCGAAAATCCAGACTTTAATATACAGCTGAAATTTCCGGAGTCTGCCAAAATGCAAAAAGGGCCTGTATAAGGTTTTGTGGATCTGACTTAACATATGTGAAGCCTAACTTCTATCATATTTACAAATTTTTGATAACTTTGCTTTGAGCATTTTCCAAGTAGCCAAAATGTTCGAAACATTTCGGCCACATGTATAATCCGAAAGAACATAAATTACACCAATATCTGTCATCATTCGAAGGTCTTAAAAAGGCATCCGTAAGAACATAAATTACACCATCATTTGAAGATCTAAAAAAGGCATCCAGAAAAACAAAAATTACACTAGTATCCGCCATCGTAAAGGCATCCGGAAGAACATAGTATCTGCAATCATTTGAAGGTCTAAGAAAAGGCATCCGAAAGAACATCAAACTTACATTAATATCTGCCAGCATTTGAAGGTCTAAAAAAGGCGACTATGTAACAAATATACGTATTAGTTTAATCTAAAATCCTAATTATAATATACTAGTTCAAATGTAAAATAGTTTTATTAGAATCAATAGAAATATTAGAAATAGTACAGCTAGTAGAAATTGAAGTAAAAGGCCATAATGTCTGAAATGTATAGATAGCCTTACTATTTTCCTGTAAAAGCAATAGTTCAGTTCGACAGTTAACAACTCAACAATAAATAAAGAGTAATAGTGTCTTCATATATGAATAACTCAAGTACTTTATTTAATATTAATAAACTTGTTATACGACTACTTGTATATTCATATACATTTAGCCGTTTGCCTCTTTCGTAACTGCAAATCACATAATCCTCTTAACGCGTAACAGCAATAAACCTTATACTTTACTTAAGAATAAACACGGCATTTTTCATCAGTCGCTAAAGTAAATTAGTTATACCAGACTTATAGAAGGTAGTTCCGGGTGTGACAATACGTAACTGATTTTTGGGCGACACTAAGCTAAGAATTTATATTTTGTGTCCAGTTTGTTCTCTGAGTGCCGTCTAGGGATAATCTGTCATTGACAAGTCATTACAAATATAATCGATAGATGTTCCTTAGACGGCACTCAGAGAAAACAATATAATTAAAAGCTTGATTACAGGTTCTCCCTTAAACACGCTCATGTGAACGAACCAAGAATAATCACGCAAATCAATTACGTACAGACATATAATAATAAAAAACTTTCATACAAGTTTTGTATACCTAGTTTATACCAATTTTGTACAAGTAGATAGTCAAATTCGTACGTACAAGCTGCTGATGGTTAAATTTATACATTTGGATAGTGTAGTTATATGAATTAATTCTCTGATTAAATCACGACATCTTGTGGTCTAATCCTATGCTATTGGATTCATCTTATTCAAAATTATAAAGACCTCACGATTTATTCCAAGTATTAATTAGTATAACTGCACTAATTTGACTGTCAGCTTGTACACAATTGACTGTTCAAGCGTATACGTAAACTAGGTATGCAAAATCCATCTGAAAACTCATAATACTGAGTAGAAATTGTAAACGATTTGGGTGGTTATGCTTGAGGGGTTTATTCATATGTAAGTATTTTATCATGAAAGTTAAAAAACACACAAACAGAATTATTATGAAACGTATATTGTTTCAGGACGTGCATGGGCGTAAACTATATTATTTTGGGGGACACGATTTTCGAAATAACGCACATGCCCGTTATTCAGAGAAGACTTAGTTAATTGACTCAAGTCAGCCAATCATACGAAGCCTTCCTAGGATCATGACTTACGGATCTATCCTATGAAAATTAATGGATGCAGATTTAAACTGAATCTTCGGATTTGTCCGAATTAGCTGGATTGAGGATCGAAGCACTAATATTAATAGTAGTAAATTAGATATCATTTAATATTTGGATTTACAGTCTTATCGTTATGTGAAAACAAAAAAAAAAACAATTACTATAAATGTATCGGTATTGTCTCATAATGACACATTTAATCGATGATCTGATATTCAAATTAACTCTAATTATTCTTTTTATTTAACAAATATCTTAAAATAGATCAATCAAATAACATTTCTTATTTATTCAAAGAAACATTAACGCCCCTACGGAGAAACAGTTTATCACATCATTGACTCTAATGACAATGTTAGTTTTTTTTTAAATAATAATTTTACACAAAGTTATCATAATCTTCATTATGGAATCTTCATTATGAAATAATAATATTATACTAATAAGGCTTACTAAAGATTCATATTAAACATAATTAGCAAAATAATGACTAAAATAAATAAATGAATAAATAAATATACACATAAAAAAAAGCCATCAATAATAAAGTATCTAAAATTGAACTTTCATGGCAGAAGAACGTAACAAAGAATTTAAACCAATTTGCGACATTTTAATATTTCGATCAACATTTGGACTCATTTCTACAAATGATTTTCCATAATATATTTCATTATAATCACCATTTTCGTCGTCATCTTCGTCTGTAACCCACTGATCTTCCTCATCCTGTTGTTGTTGAACGAGGTTATCGTAGCGCTGAGAGAGAGAAATATAAAAATTAGAAAGGTAAACAGAAATATAATTGTTGTCATATCGTAACATAAGTATTTAAATATAATGAATACCTCCTTAATGTCTACTAACTTTCGATAATCAGGGTCATCGTATTTCATTTCATTCAATTCCAATCTTATTCTTTCAACCACTTCAGTATAATCTGGACACTGCAGAAAACCTTGCAAACGTGAATCACACCTAGGACACGACAAATCAGATATTTTAATTCCACACCCATCTTCCTCATCATCAATATCCTCATCATCTTTACAGATAGCAAATTCATACAAATCTTCAATCTTCATTTCTGGATAACCGCATTCACCACAAGCAGCAATGTGATGGTGAACATGTTTTGGCTGATCACAATTATTACAAGTTTGCTGATTTATACGATTCTTACGATCATTTATTTCGTTTTGTAACTCCAATAGTTTTGTTTGTTGTTGTTTCACCCAAGCTTCGCACGCATCGCATTCATTAAAATTTGTGTTTGGTTGAGAACAACCCTTGCACGTGCCAAATATTTTTCGACGACGGGCTAGTTGAGAAGAATCAACTTTCTGTTCTGTTTGCGAATTCATTGTGGTTAATTCCATTACAAAGACTATAAAAGAAAAAATAAAGTTATATAAAGTTGATAAAAAATCAAAGGATGTTTAAGGAGCGAAACTAATTTTTTTTGTTTTGATATTTATGCAATTAAATGAAAAGGAACTGGATATTTGGCTTTTCTATCGCATAAATATTTTTAGATAAAATTGTTTTTTGTTTATTTTGAAAGGCACAATATGAATAGTCCAGTATGAATAAAAAGAATTCGTTTTTTTTAAAAAGAAAGAAAAAAAGAAGATTCAAGGTATACACGCTATTATTTACTTTATATAAATCTTGCGTTTTGTAACCCAAAAGATTCTGGCGGTTTCGTAAGCATTTTCCTCTATTTGTTACGTGACCATCATGCAGGTTTCATCGAGCGACATTAAATTTTCTTGACAGACGCAAAGCATTAAAATGCCTGAGATCATCAGGATTATTAGTACCAATAATTCCTGTTTTAATTGAAAATTTTTCTCGTGATTAAGAAGATTACCTTATCTGGAATAGTAATTAATGTTACTCGAATGCAAGCATCTACAATGTGTACAATGTGTACGGTAGTTTATTGATTATTTAACGGTCGCACAAACAGTTATTGGTTTCACCCTTTTGAATACATGATAAAGATTCTCGTCTTTGAATATAAATATGTACCACAATTCGCGTCATCTATTAAAAATAAACAGTCGATATAACGGGGATATTAATTCTATTGATTTTTTGTGATGTTTCTTCTGGATGTTTTCCTTGTTGGTCCAACAATAAAAATCATACTATAGCTTGTAAGAGCTTTTAAATGACGCTATTCATCTTAACGTCGAATGTATCCTTGCACATGATCTATTTCTATTTGCCTCGATTGGTTTAAGAGGTTCGTACGTGTAACCTTTATTAGGTGGTTACAAAATATCAAATAACTAAGTACATACTGGTACGTACGGATGTACCAAATTTTATCTATTAACTGGTAATTAATGTTAGAATGTTACTTAAGCTGTTTTGTTTTGTAGTTGTACGTATATGTTCATAACTGATATGTAAGTTCTAAATGTTATATATATAAGCATGTTAAATGTTTTTTCTTACCTCATTTATCATTTACTTTTCTCCCCTTCCAGCTTAACATATTGAAAGCGTGCACATACGGTCGACGACAGATAAATCATGAATACGTATTTAATATTATATCCAGTTTAGTTGTTAACTTACTAGGGTGGACTTTTTAGTCGTACAAAGAAGGAGAAAGGAAAAATAAATTTTTACTCCAAATGGAGGATAATAATATCATGAGTCCGATCAAGTCATGAGTTCGATCAAGTCATGAGTTCGATCAAGCCATGAGTTCGATCAAGTAGTACATGTAGGGTTCTTATCGTTATTATACTTGATACCGTATTAAACTATTGTTATAATACCAGTATCGGTATATGGATATAGTATAATATCAATAGTTAGAAACAGTCTAGCCAATTAAATTTCTTGTGCACATGATAAACTTAGGGCACTTTCTATACCAGTATAATTAGAACCCTAAGTACATGACGATGTTTATTTTATGTGCTTAGCGTAATATTTATTTGAAAATTTATTTAATATTTATTTTAATACGACATCTTGCTTTAATATCTTGTCATAGAGCATTTCGTCGAAAAATAAGACTTAAGTGTTAATCTCTTATAAATTCAAAATTTTTTTGTACTATTTTTACAGAGGTACTGCGTAAAAATGTTAAATATTCGATCATATTGCTGATTGGTATTACACCATATTAAAATTGATGCTTCAATAACGGTAAATTCATATTAACAGTTTAGTCCATTTATATCGATCGATTTCTAAATGTATCGATCTGAAGCAATAAGTATTACAAAGAAATTACTAATGATAATTCCATCTGGCCTTTAACCTAAAAAGTATCCAATTGCCGTTGTTCCTGTATGTGATGATAAAATGCGGGGCTTGCATATACTGACTTGACATACAATAATTCATTATATGAAAATAAGCACGGTAATATATCACTTGCATCAAATATATACTGATATATTTCCTTAGGACTATTATTCAACCGACGGCAAACATCTTTCTTACTTCAAAAAGTCTGCGACTTAACGATTCTCTTTTATTTATTACACTTTTTTTTGCAATTTCATTACAATCTTTTTTTTTTTTTTTATAACCGAATTTTCGGTTGTTATTTAACAAACCCCCTCATAATTTTGCTCTAAAGTTCACCCCCTGTGGCTCTCGTCTCCTTTAAAGTCTGCCCTTTTTTTTCCAAAAAAATTTTTTTTTTACTCGCTATCAATCGAATCTAATTTCGATTATTATCTTATGATTTTATAATTTTTTTTTTTTTTTTGCTTATCATTGCAAATATTTTTTCTTAAATTCATAACCGTCCATGAATTCACAATACCAAAAAAACAAATCATCAGAAAGAAAAAGGGCGAATCCCTTAATTGATTTAATAGAAACAGAAAAGACATACATAAATGATTTAAGATGTTTGCTAAAGGTTGGTGATATTTCCTAAAAACTTCTTTTACTATTGTAGTTATTATCCATTAAAGAGTTTTTCCTTTTTCACAGAGAGTTACATCCTGTTGGAGTTCTAAGGATCTTCCTCCGCCCGAATTGGATATACTGTTCCTTGCTATCGAGGAAATTTATAAACGGAACAAACAATTTTACTCAGTAATTATTTTTAAGTCCATGTCTAATAGTAATTGTGAAATTTTTTTTTTCATACTTAATTAAAACTATATATTTTGATTGACTAATTTTCATCAGAAATTGGCAAAGCTTGGCGCATCCCCTCAGTCCGCAGAAGAACTTGGAGATACTTTAGTAGGCTGGGTAAAAAAATTTCTATTTTTGGTTTATTAAAAATGTTTTTCTTTGTTTAAATCAATGTTAATCTTTTTCATTCAATAATAGGTGGATGAAATGGAAGAACCATACACAAATTATTGTCGAAAGTATCGACAAGGCTTTGATGATAGAAAGGATATTGAGGAAAATTTGGTTTTACAGCAGACTTTAAATGTAATTCATTGATGAACTAACTCATGTTTAATAACGATTTACGATATATGAATACTAATTCATATTGTTGGTTTTTAGGACATTTCCGCCGAAAACAATCAGCCAGTATCATTAGATTACTTTTTTGACATCCCAATGAAAAGGATTCACTATTATAAAAAATTATATATGGTTAGTATCTTCTTTTTTGACGATCAGACCTTAAACACAAATTAAATTTTTTTTATTTTTAAGCGCCTATTTAAAAGCACGGAACCTGGTCGTTCCGATCACATTATTTTGGCTTCTGCAAACGAAAGACTTGATCTTCTCATTAACCTAGAGAAGCAAGTTAAAGAATCAAATTTAAAAGATCCGATAATCACTTCCCAAAAGTTATATCACACTGTACCTTCACATTTAGTGGAAGAACGTGCCATAACTCCTAACAAAGATCAAGTATTCCCTTCAAACAATTCTCTAGAGCAAGAGCCAGAATCCTACTCTCCTTTACGTGAACGAATTCAACAAGATCATATTCATTCTCCAATGCCACAAAGACTCCATTCCCCAATTTCTCCGATACAAGATTACGAATACCCTCAGGTTCAGAAACAAGTTAATGAACCTATATATGCAGAAGTTATGGAGTCCACAATATCTGATTACTTTTCCAATGACGATCAGCCTGATTGGAATATATTAGACTTACAAAATTTTATCGACACTTCAAAAACTTTTGATATACTTACCAAACAACCCAGAGTAGGTTTATTTTAATTTACTACATGTCTTTATTTTATTTATTTATTTGTGATACGATTATCTAATTTGTTCGAAACTTTTTTTTCACTATAGAAAATAAATTTGAACCTACAACCGTCAAGTTTGCCTTTCAAACGAGAATTAATTCTCTATGATGATTTCATTATTGAAGTTCCTGAGTACGATAGTGATGAAAGATTTCATGTGCGTGCGCACTTGTTCTTATTGACCGATCTCCTGTTGGTTTGTCAAAAAATTGACATAAAAGACCAACATAATATTCCCAATTTTAAATATTGGCTAATGTATCAACCGTTGAGCGGAAAACATTTGTCTATAAGGGATATAAGTTATGAGGAAGGAGGTTAGTTTTTTATAACAATTACAATAATTTTATGTATTTATGAAATCTATTAATGGTTTATTCTTTTTATAGACATGTTGGAATTAACTATAATGAGAGATGAGACCATGATCATTTTTCCTCAGTCAGACAACAAGAAAGATATTTGGTTCAATGAAATCTCCAAAGCGATAAAGTTTGCCTCAGCTGGTATATAAAAGTTCATAGATACATGGGATCTTTGCCAACAAACCGGTACTTTTTACCTTTATTGATTCACGACAAGCTATTAAATCAATAAAGGCAAAAAATGATTTACATGTAAATAAGAACTGATATGTTGGTCTAAATGTCGGAGAGTGACTTTCTTAATAAAGATCCCATATACTTACACGAGTACTGTAAAATGATATTCAATTAGGTGCTATTAACTCCATATTGCCTACGAATTTTTGCGCAAAAGGTCAATCAGGAATCAATAGGGTTACCTGATTGTTGCCAAGTTTCAATATCAAATATCAATATGAAATCAATAAATTAAATTTGGCAATAATCAGGTAACCTTGATTGACCTCTCCATTGATGCCCAAATCAGTAAGCAATAGGATATTAATAGGTTAAATTCGGCAAAAATTGTGAACCCTTATTGAATACCATTTAATTGTGATATATCTTACTCATAATAACGATATTTTATTAATTCAAAATTTAGGAATGGTGAGACCGCAAGTCAATACAGATGTAAGAAATTTGAATTCAGCAGGTAGCAGTCCTAACACGCTATCTACATCTCCAAACACGGGTGCTTCTTTAACACCTAATAGCTTGAGTCAATCAAGGTCACCCACAAATTTGGGACATTCACCCACAAACATGGGACATTCACCCACAAACATGGTACACTCACCCACAAACTTGGGACACTCACCCACAAACATGGGACACTCACCCACAAACTTGGGACACTCACCCACAAACTTGGGACACTCACCCACAAACTTGGGACATTCGGCTACAAACTTGGGACATTTGTCTACTGGTTCATTTAAATCAGGGTTACCAGCAAGACCGAATCAGTATCTCGGTCCACGATCGCGAACCCTTGATCTTCAACGTGATTCTGGAGAAGAATATGATTATAAACCTGGTAGTAACAATTATAATCAAACACAAGATCGAATCAGCGATCCATCATCTTCTAGTTCTATAAATCGAGCGCAATTAATGTCATCTCTTAAACGTTCTAATTC